GTTTTTCTATGGCCGTGGCTATCACAGCGGATAGCCCTCAATTTATACGTATTAGCATTCTTGAACACTTTTATCGTCTCTGCCTAACTAAATTGTCCAAACCATGGTAAACCACATAACATCCCTACTCTTCCTCACATTCTCTGCTTTATAAAAATAGTAGAGTTGAGCAAAAAAAACTCACATTTATGAGTTACCAAAAGGCCAAAACCAACACTAAACCCAATCAATATTACTCGGTAAAAACAAGTGTTTCACATCTTCCGCATTTGTACCACATGGCCTAAGGCCCTAAGCGATATCATTCTGAAAGTTGTCCGGTAATTGTTCTCGTAACCACCCCCTGAAAAATTGATCAGCACTGCTGCACTGTGAACTAATCTTTTTTATTGACAGGTAAGGCTGCCCCTGAAACTATTCTTATAATTGTTCACTGTTAGAATATTAGCATTTATGTTAAAATATTAATATTGTATTAACATAGTTTCATTGTAATTGATTATCGACATTTAAATTACTTAATTTTATATTGAAAAATATTTTATTATATAAATTTGCATGTAAGTCATGTATATACAATGAAGACAAAAAAGTAACAATTTTTTTCAAATATTTCTCCTCTCCAAGTTTCTAACATGGTATCATAGTTGTATCATGTTTTGATCCTGTTATTAGGAACTATTCACTCCACTGCACCATTTTTCCCAACAGCACTAAACCACTTTTAGATGAGTCATTATCTCATCAATATTCGACAGTTCTAATAATCAGAATTGAGCGGTCGTACTGTAGAGAGGATAGTGTTTCATTGCAAGTGTAGATGTTGAGGATGATTCTCCCCAAGAACAGATAAGGGAATCGCGGAGCAGCAGTTAGGAAGGAGATTTTTGTGGATGGAAGTGACTCTTGTTTGAGAAAATGATTGAATTGGAAACGGCCATCCATCTAGAAAAGGTTCCAGCCACTTAAAGAAGAACATAATTTTCAAGTTACCATGACTAAGGAGTTTATTTTCTCCGCCCCAGACTTGGACACGGTCTGGGTACACTCATCTAAATTTGGAACTGTGCACATAACATTGGAATTTTGTGTAATTATTCAAGTTACTTAGGGCTAACTAGGGAGATTTTCTCACTTGTTTGGTACGATGGCAAACATGTATTTACCCCATAATCCAACCAGAAAAGAAGTATACTTACCGATGAGTGAAAAAGAAAGTTTTCGAAACACTATTGAAAACTAGAAATTTGTAAACGTTTCTTTCTTTCCTACTGAAATTGAAATTTGAAAGGTGATAATTAAGTACCGTCTTTCTACCCAATTTCTGTCCCAATTTAAGCAAAGTTTTTATATTTTGAAGCATTAATCACTACTAAAATGTTTACAAATTCACAATATTTAGAAGCATTTCTGTTTTTATATTTGTCCATCCAATAATTATAATAATTACTATGATTGTGATTCCAATCATTGTAAATTTACCCTTCAAGTTTTAAAATGAGAAATGAAGATAAGTTTTTCCCTCAACTTAGGGCCGAAGAAAAAACGAGGGACGCTAAAGGACATTGATCTAGCAGTTTACAAATAAATATATGAATTACAGATAACAATAAAAAAAATTTATTGGGCAATTCAAACGGTAGGAAATTGCACAACAATAAATATTAAATAAGATATAAGCTCTATGATATTATCAATACAAGCGACTCAAACAACGTAACAGTAACTGTCAAAAATCAAACGGGGAAACTTTTTGCAAGTATCAATCAAGGCATAGTTTTTGTGCTCCAAGCAACAAAATAAGTCTATTACTTTAGAATTAGTAAAAAAACTTTATAGATCCTCTTATTTGGAGAACTGCAACTTGAATGAAAGAATACAGGTTTCAACAGCAGTGGTAGATCTTACAACAGAGCCTCACTGGATAAAAGTGGGCATACCGAACAGTAAATTATTAACTCAATGATAATAGGAGCAAACAATCAGATATCTAATTTGATAACCAAAGCAAAATAGCACAAGGCTTGATTCCATGTAATATCCAAATACAAAAGAGAACACCTCAAAGATCCTTTAGAAATTTAAACAAAATCTTGAAGACTACAAAATGCAAATTGTCCGTAACTTGGATAAAATAGGATTGACATTTATTCTAATGCTTCCTAATAACGGCCAATTCCCCAAACTCTGACGACACCATCTGTATAACCACTGAATAATGTGCTCCCATCAGCACTCCAGTTTAAGCTTGTGCAGTATATGACCTGCAAAATCAAATAAAATCAAATTGGGTTTTGGAAAAGAGTAAAGAGAAATCAATAGCAAACAAAATCAAGTTACAAGTTACTAGGGATGATGAGGAAGACTCAAGGCTTCTTGACTCGAAAATAGAAAACAAGAATTAGCATTCATGATAACTTATAAAGGGGAATTAACAAAAATCCAAGATGTAATACTTCCATTGCTTTAAAAGATCATTTCCAGCTATGGGAAACTCAGAACCATACCATACACAAAGTGACAAGGGTAAACACCTTTGTAAGAGAAGAATTGTTAACCAGCACAAGATACGTTAAACCAAAGGCACATACACTCCACAATAATTTAACAGAGAACTTCAATTTTCATATTTAAACCTGCCCCTAGGACATCATCAGAAAGACAGTACAAAGACGATCTAGTGGAGTCAAAGCAATCTACTTTATCATAAATTCTTAAGTAAAATGTAATACAATGCCAATTAACTCAAAGGATGCCTATATTATTATTTACTATCGTGCATTTCAGAGACATAGATACTAATTAGAATATGTTAAACAGTTCAAATGTAATAAATAATGAAGACATGGAAAACAATCACAAGGAAACAGTAGATATACAATTATAAATAAGTTAAGGGAAAATAAGAGAACTGGGAACCAATACGACCAGAAACAAAGAAGATATGATATTACCTTCTTCTTGTTGGAGGCGCCATCACCTTCAGATTTCTCGGCCTCAGCCTTGAGATCCACCTTCAAGTCCTCCACAATGCTCTTGCTCTCTAGATCCCAGATCTTAATGCTCTGCTCTGTTGCAGCACAGAGCCAGTATCTGTTGGGGCTAAAGCACAGA